TGTGGGTGCTGCTTGGTTTAGCGGTCCAAGGCTTCCTCCGCCTTTGTCTTCCCCTTCCCCCAATGAGGCCAATCAAAGAAGAGCTCCAGGGTTCAACTCTGATTCTCTAAGGGCAGCTTCCCAAATATACACAGGATATCTAAGGAAGTGTGGCAGGCAAAGAAGAGGCAGTAGTCCTGGGAGACCAGAGTAGGCACAGTGGAATCTGTCTCGCTGCCACCTTCTTAGACAGGTCCCATTGCATTCACCAATTGCAGCCTCAGTGTGATATCCCTGCCACACTCCATTGCTGCTGACTGCTTTAATTGTGCTTTTGAGTGGCTCATATGCCTTTTCTCTCTTGTACTTGTTCTCTCTGCATGAATGCAGAATGTTACAGGTTTGTCCCCTGAAACTGATATGTACCATTCAGCTAGCTCAATTTAAGGGACCAGCTGAAAAGTGAAAAAAGGCAATACTTAAAAGTGAAGAGACATAGCTGGGAATTCAAAGGACATGTATCCTTGTCTTTAAAATTCTAAAGGACTAAAAGGTTGAGCTGAAATTTGAGTTCTGATGTTTTGAGACTCCTCCAGCAAAAGTCATATTTAATTCAGATAAGGCACTTTTCTTAAGTTGCAATCTTCTTGAGAATCTGTCCCTCTCTGACTTTCTGTGTATATATAGATATAGATAAATTAACTGAAAAAAATCAGCATTTTGGGCTTTGAAGGAAACCTCAAAATGTGGACCAAATGTAACAGATACCAAAATGTTTCAATATCTCAAACCTGCCCTATTCATTGTGGTTATGTGTTCCAACATTATTATCATTAACTATTCCTTTACTTATAGGAAAGGGGATGAGGGGTCCCAGGTAATAGTATGCCATGAGAACAGCTAATTTTGATGCAGCCAGTAGATGACATTTAGGGAATGACACAATATATTCTCCCTCCCTAATTAAGTAGGAGCAAAGCCCAAGGAGTCCATCAGATTTCATGGATATATTCAAGCCCTGCTTGGCCGCAGCCACTTTAAGGAGCAAACTGGGGTTTAGAGAATTGTGAGGTCATATTTTTATCATCTACACAATCTCTTATGAGTGTCTTATTTTGGTGACTCATGTCTTGTGTGGACTAAGTTGAGAAAAGCATCACTCCATCCTCTTGTACACATTTGTTCCATACCAATCTTAATTCATTGTGCTGACTTTATAATTAACACAATGATAAATACCTTTAAAAATAAAATGTTTTAAAAGTACAGAAACAAGCCATCCAAAAAGCTGTTATGGATTTTCAATGATGCTTGCAAACTCTTCTGTGAATCTTGCACAAAGCTGATGTTGCTTATGTACATCCTTATTTACAATACTTTTGTGCGCACCAAAACAATTCTTTCTTGTACGGATTTTTCTAAGGCAGTGTCTTTATTTATTGAAATCTGAGTCACTGATTTCAAAGTAAGAAGTATATATTTCTTTGCCAGCCTGAATGCAAAACAAGTAGAGATTTTCCTTTTAAGAATATTAACTCATTCCTGCTGCCTCATCAGAAAGCAAAAACAATTTCAAGTTTTTTGACTTTGTCATCCCAGCTACTGTAACTCAGTTCTTTCAGGCCCTTTCGTGAAAACCTAAATCCTGTTCTGAGGGTCTGATGTGTCTTGTGCACCAAATAGTGATGAAGTTGTTAATGCAAGCAGGAAACAAGATACGCTAAAAGCAGTTGGCTGGAGCTTCTGTAAAGATTTCTATCTCAAAAGGGAGAGGACAGTCTGATAAAGACGGTACTGAGACTGTACCCTTATATATGAGGCAGGAGCAAAACTGGTTGAGTTCTGATCCCATTTAGCTATGTTGCTCTGAAATTTCATTGACTGTGTTTGTGTTAGTTGATTAATTCCTGTCAGTCTTCTAGGGCATCAGAAACATTTCATGTGTCCAAACCTGAAAGTTATTAGGGAGTGTGTTGGGGGAGAAAGTAGTTGTACAATACACACAATGAAGAAAGGGTATTCTGATGCATCACTGGCACCAGAGGAAAGAAATGGAGAGAGTTTTAAATGCAAAGAAGCATCTCATTCACAAGGACATTAAAAACGGTGATTAGCTGCCAGTTATGCCTTTCTAAATACTCTCTGTTTCTCCTCTCATAGATGCCTAACTCAAATTGGAAGTCATTTGAGTATTGGGTGTCTTTATTTGAAAACATCTACCAAGAAGACAAAATTAAGGATAACCCTGGCTTGAAAAGTAACCTTACAATGAACATCATTTAGGATGACACAGTTTTTCCTCTCCCTACCAATGAAAGCAAAGGCATTGTTGACTCCCCCATATTTCTTTTTCTGTTCTTCACCAACCTCATCTTGTTTGTATATTTCATTATTTTATACACTCTTAACTGTTTTAATAACAAATAAACTATACTATATTGCCCTGAATATTTTGACTACAAATGATGTAGTAATAAAATCTCTGAAGATTCTTCTCTCTTTCTCTCTTTTTTTTCTTTAAAGAGAAAATCCACAACTAGGCTAAATGACCTTATTCCATATACCAGTACAGGCCAGAGACTGACTGGCTAAGCAGGAGCTCTGCAGAAAAGTACCTGGGAGTTACGGTAGACAGTAAGCTGAATATGAGCCAATAGTGTGCCCCTGCTGCAAAGTAGGCTAATGGCATACTGGGCTGCATCAGAAGGAACGTTGCCAGCAGATCAAGGGAAGTGACTATCCCCTGCTATTCAGCACTGGTGAGGCCACGCCTGGAGTTGGAGTACTGTATCCAGTTTTGGGCCCCCAACTACACAAAGGATGTGGACATGTTGGAGAGAGTCCAGCAGAGGGCAACAAAAATGATTTGGGGGTTGGGTCACATGACTTCTAAGGAGAGGCTGAGGGAAATGAGTTTATTTAGTCTAGAGAAGAGAAGACTGAGAGGGGCTTTATAGCAGTCCTCAACTATCTGAAGGGAGATTACAAACAGGATGGATCTAGAGTGTTTTTAGTGGTGGCGTATGACAGAACAAGGAGCAATATTCTCAAGTTGTAGCAAGGGAAGTTTAGGTTGGATAATATGAAAATATTTTCCACTAGGAAAGTAGTGAAACACTGGAACAGGTTATCCAGAAATTTTGTGGAGTCTTTATCCTTGGAGGTTTTTAAGACCCATCTAGACAAAGCCTTGGCTGGGTTGATCTAGTTGGGGATGATCCTAATTTGAGCTGGGGGTTGGAGTAGATGACCTCCTAAGACCCTTTCCAACCCTAATTTTATATGAATCTATGATTCACCTTTATAATCTTTTTGGATAGTAAGGGTTGTCTTTTTGTTCTGTATTTGTCCTGAGACTATAACTAGGGTTTCTAGGTGAAGCAGAAATGTAAATTAAAAATAATACATGACTTCAGGGAAGTTATGCTGATTTATGCCAAATAATACCTCTGGACTGCACATTTGCCATGATAAAAAGCAATAGGAAAGTTTGTCAGAAACAAGAAGGAAAAAATATCCTGACAAGATGCCAATTTTGTCTTCCAAAAATGAAATGATTACTCAAGAGAGAATAATAAAGGAAATCTAATAACAGATACCCGCTGAAGAGGGAAGCTGGGTAAAGGTCCCTGTACTCGACAAGGAAGCTATTTGGATCACTTGGATGCAGGTCAGGTATGGACAGGGTATAAGGGGTGGTGGAACCTGTGTAGTGGAGACCAGAGTATCAAATGTCTGTTGTCACATGACTCACTGTTGCCCTCCTCCCCACCTTATATTCTTTTTTCTCCCATCAAGGCATGGCAGGAAAGTGAGAGGAGGAAAACACTGAGTCAAGTAGCCAGTGCTGAGAAGACACCGGCTTACAGCTGCTTATAAGCTCCTTTTCTTTTCAGATTTTAAAACCACATGAGTTCCATATTGGTGTTAAGATAAACCTGTCCTATATTCCTCATGTATACAATCATGTAAGTATCACTGTCTTATTTTCAGTGATAAGAAGCTGTGAAACTGCTTCATTATTTTGTTCTGTGTCCTACAGAGCCATCACCTGCAGATTATAAATGTACTGCTGTGATTTGGATCAATTCAGAGAATGCAAATATCCTGGGTCATCTTGTATATTTTTTCTGCCTCCTTTCCCCCCTTTACTCTCTGTAAAAAAAAAAAAAAAAAAAAAAAAAAAAAAAAAAAAAAAA